GGCGCCCCGCCACCATCTTCTGGGAAGCTGAGGAGGTGGTGCGGGGTGGGTGGGGGCCGCAGCGACACAGGCTATGGTTCCCCGCTGCCGCCAGGGGAGGCAATACGGGGGTCGCGGGGTGAGAGTCGACCTTTTCCTGTCATGTCATGGATGGAGAGCATTTTGTTCGGTGGCAGATCTAGTGGGGTGCCGTGGGTGGCGCACCCACTTCAAAATTGGAAAACAAAATTCAGTGTATACTGAACACTAAATATTCAGCAAGTTGTTGCCACTTTTAGCGGAAATCCCTTTTGCAGCTCGGCCTCCAGTGAGGCCTCCAAATTTAATTTTGAAATTTCATCGAAATTCATATTTTTACATTTCAAAAAATTCTGAAAAAAATATAGATATACATGAAGGCATAACGCACTTTTGTGTAAATTTTCAGTTCAAAATACATTGAAATGAGGGCTATGCAAAAAAGACAAATTTGGTGATGTTTAACACATGATACTATTCATCCTCCGTGGCCATGAATTTCTCTTTTTTGTACAGGTCGCAACTCAAGGTATTTCATCATGAATTTTTACATACATGTGAGTTACATCCTTACATACACGTATTTTTTTTAGAATTTTTTGAACCATAAAAGTTTGAATTTGAAATTTTCAAAAATAAAGGCCTCCATGAAGCTCGGCCTCCAAAACTCCTTTCTTCATTTTTAGACTATTTATTGAAATTATGATGATGTTTGGTGTAACTTTAAACTGTAGCACCCAAGCCTATAATTCTAGGTCCGTCACTGATTTTTGTTTCATCAGCACTCAGTAGTTAAATGGCGATATATAGGTCATCAAAAAGTCTGAACCTGTCATGTCAGGGATGGAGAACATTTTGTTTATGCGCGTCTAACTAGCTACTAGTAGTAGGTACCTTGGAACGGGTCTGCAACATGGCGATTAGTTTGGCAGTTACGGTGGCAGAAGAAGACGACGACCAAATATATGGCCAGGAGGGGTCGAACTCAAGGTGCCGGCATACGTTCCAGTCTCGGTCCCCGGAGTCCACCCATGATGGCAACGGCGAGAGTGTCCTGTGTACACGTACGTACGGTACGTCGTCGTAACACGGAATTGACGTAGTAAGATGCCTCTAAAATGCCTGTATTTTCCATCGACGCAACGTGGTGTACCGATACAACGGGATACTGGACCTTGACTCGCTCCGGCCATTTCTCTTCTTTTTTTTTTCGGAACTTTGAGAGCTTTATTCAAAAAAGGCATTCGCCGAACAATCAGCAAACATGCTGCTGATCAAGAAGCTAGGGGTCATTTCAAGCCAGCTCTCAGTCACATTAAGCGTACTAGCACGCTTGATTTTTTTGTCCAAAAGGACCCCCTGCCGAGATGAATTGACAAAAAAGACTACCTGCAGATGAATTTGGCAAAAAGGACCCCCTCGATGGTGGCGGCAGGCGCGACAGGAGACACGTGGCACCTGCCGCCACGCCAGGAGGCGGCGGGCCCTGCCGCCACCGCCGGAGGCGGCTACCCAGCCAGAACGGATTCCCAGCTCCTCCCGCGCCGCGACGGAACGGGGCGGGCCAGGTGGGCCCTGCCGCCACCGGGCGAGGCGGCCAGCCCTGGCGCGGTCGCTGACTGGCCGACAGGCCCTGCTTCGCGCGGGCCCCGCTGGTGGGCCTCGCCGCCACTGCCTGAGGCGGCCTCGCCTGCCGACAGCGCTGGCCGACAGCTGCTGCTGCACACTGGCCGAGGCGCGGGCCCTGCCGGCACTAGCGCAGGCGGCCCGTTGCTGCATGCGCGCGGATTCCCTTGGCCGACATGAGCCACTATGGCAAATGGCGTTAATTCCCACGCGCGTAATAACGATGAATTTCACTGTTACAAACTGGGCTAATTCCCACGCGCGGAGGACGACGAATTTCACGGGCGGGAACTGTTGTGCCGACACTACAGGGATGCTCCTTCTTTATATAGTATGTGTATGCTCCGTGCGCAAGCACACTCTGCCCTCCTCTTCTACTCTCTGCGTGTAAGAACAGAGAGAAAGCAAAACTCATTACACATTTCATTCGTGATTTAGGGTGATTTAGAGTTGGATTTTGAATATGCTGAAGTTGAAGAAAAGATAGACGAAGGTAAGATCTATCCATTTTTGTTGGTTTCGTTCACATGCATGCAGTTTGTACTATTTTTGTTTAGTTCATAACTATGTGTTCTCTGCTGTGTTAGGTATTATTTCATCAATTTTTGGAGTCATTTAGTGCTTCAGGAGTAGGATTTGTGTAGCAAAGTGAACTACGAAGTTGAAGATCAAGGTATGAGCTTTGAAATACATTTATTTATTTGTGCATGCAAGGTGGTAATTAGTTCATCCTTTAGCTCGTTATTAGCTATGTGATGGTAGTGCTTAGAGGTTAGAAATAATTTCAGACGAGAGATGTAACATTTAAACTATTTTTTGAAATAGTAGGTTGAAGATGTTGCATCAATGTTAGGTGCGTCCATTAGTATTGACATGCGGGAAATCTTAATACGGTAATTAAGAAAAAATTGTATTGTAATTGTTTATTGCATGCGGTATGTTATTTCATGTGGTATGTTATTTTATGTGGTATGTTTATTAATAAGTCTATAGTTAGGAAACCGTAGGTCTACTTTGTTATGTCGCAATAATCTAAATTTTATATGTTAAGATTAGGTGCTAATGTACTTAATGATGTATGTAATTAGGTAAAATAATTCATCTTAGTAGCAAACAAGGAGGAGAAGACGTGATTGAAGAAATTGTGTTTCCATTTTCGCTGTCCCATTTTGAGGTGATGAACACATACATGGAAGTGCTATTTTCATACTTTTGTTAGCAGGAAGAAAAATCCGTGTGTAATATTGTTGTTAATGTGATAATAGGTTGACGAGGTTCATATAGTACTGGCGACGGATATTTATTGAAACTATTTTGACGCTTAATTGCATTCGCAAGCACATCCATATTGGAGCTAAGGTGAAAAATGACACTGTAATTTTGTTAATATTTTTTGTATTGATGTACTATTGTGAATAATGTGCATGCTGCTGCAAATATTATTATTTGTAGATAAATGATTGTTATCGTATGATGTGAAAAAAAATTATATAAAGCCGAAAGAAATTAAATGTTTTACTCATATGATATTAAAATGTTATTATCGTACTATTATGTTTACTGGTTGTTTGGATAGCGAGTAATTACCATGGGTTTTGTCATAACCTGTTGTGCGAAAAATAGTTTTTACTAATAGTCGTTAGAGAAAAAAGAGAGTTTTAGTTTGTAACGCTCGTAGACGAGTTTTATTTGAACTATTTAGACTTTTAATTGCATTCGCAAGCACATCCATATTGGAGCTAAGGTATAAAATGACGCCGTAATTTTGTTAATATTTTTTATATTGATGTACTGTCATGCCGCTGCAAAAATTATTATTTGTAAATAAATGAATTTTAT